CGGGTTTGATTCGATTTGATGTGACTCTTATTATTATTGTTTTTCCTTCCCTTCCCTCGGCGCGGGCTGTTCCGGGAAGCGCGCGTCCCCTCTGCCCGCCGCGCGCGCCCCCGCCCGCCAGCCGCGGGCCCCGCTCTTAAAGGGGCGATGGCGGACGCGCGGGTGTGGGGACCGCGGGCTGGGCGCGCACGCGCAGTGGGGGTGGAGGCGCGCCGGCTACCCACACACCCCATCGGACCGCAAGGACCACGCCAACCCAGTCGTCCTACACACGGGGGCACCGACCGCCCCTCCAAACGCGACAGCGACACCGCCAGGACCCGGCACGACGCGCGCGCGCACGGTGCCACACAGCTAGCTGAGTGCCCGAAAGGACAGCGACGCCCAGGCCACCGCGCACCAGGTGCGCAGCCTCCCGCGGTGCGCGGGACCCAAGTGGGGTTCGCGGTCACCCGGGGGACCCACCTTGCACCCCACCCTCTGAGGACTCAGTGCACGCACCCGGGGTCTCTCCCAGCTGCACAGTTTTGGGGGTGCCCGGGAGCCACCCCCCCCCACTGCCCTCTTGGTGTCCAGCAGCTGCTGGGTGACTGTCCAGCCTCGCTGTTCTGGTTGCCCTGTGGCGGGGCTCGGGATGCCCCCAGCGATGTGCAGGGAGTCGGGGGCCCCGGAGACAGGAGCCCCGCAGGGCAGGCTGCCTACGTCCGGGAGAGCCGCGTGGACGTGCGTGGCAGGGCAGCGGGACGTGGGAGGGGTGACTCCGGGTCCGGGTTTGTCGTTACTAATCAACGAGTGCGTGTATGCAAACACGCAGCTCCCTTGGGAGCGAGGCACGCGTGCGTCGTTGCGCGTGGGCGGGCAGGCACCCAAGGGCACGGTGGCCTGTGTGGGCGCCTGTCCCTGGCTGGGCTGCGGGAGGTCGCGTGTGGGCCTCCGCGCGCGCGTAGGTGGCTCGCCGCTCTCTGGGACCTGCATTGTGTGACGGGGGTCGTATTTCCTGTGTCGTGTGTGACAGTCCGGATGTCACTCGCTGCTGTCTGAACCCCTAGTACAACTCCCCCCATAAAAGCCGACCTCCCCCCCGGGACGGGACGCCCCCACCTCTGCTGACCGGCGGGAGGGCGGGAAGCCGGGAGCCGCCGGGGGTCCAGACAGGCAGAGGAAGGGCAGGGCCACCCCGCCTCCACCCGAGGGCCCCGCGGAGCTGTCGCCGGCCCTTCCATTTCCTGTCCAGCCCACCGCCCCCTCCCCCAGCTTCCTCTCCTTGGGCTGCGGCTGGCGACTGCCCGGGGCTGGAGGCCGTGGGGGGACACAGCCTCGACGACACCTCCCAACGAGCGTTCCCACCAGCACTGCGAATCAGGAGAGAGGGGGTGCGGCGCCCCAATAGCCCACCACGTTGGTCTCGCCCCCTTCCTGTGCCTCCCCTGGAGATGACCCCTCGCCCTCTCCGAGCCACGGGTCCTTGGGTCACCGTGAGTCTCCATCCATCCATCCACCCACCCCACGACTGTTCACTGAGCGCCTTCTGTGTGCCGGGTGGGGGACGTCACTCGTGGAGCACACACTCTCGATGGGGAGGCGGACAGTGAGAATGGAGCGCCCCCGTAGTTCCAGGCCGTGCCACGTGCTGTGCGCACAGGGCAGGGGACAGGGTCAGCCACGACGCAGTGGGCCGGGCTCCCCGGAGGTGGGCGGGGGCGGTTGTCATGGCAACCGCGAGGCGCTCCCCACACTCCCCGGCTGCAAGCGCGCGCTCCCTAATGGGGCGCCCTGCAAGCACCCCCGTCCGCGCGCTCACGCGAGGAAGAGAGATGTGAAAGACTGATCACAGCCCAGGTCAAGGCCCTGAGGCGGGCACCCCGGCAAGGCGTTGGAGGAGTTTTGGTTTTGGTGCAAGTGGGTTTTGAACTCAGGGCCTTGCACTTGCAAAGCGGGCGCTCCAGCGCTTGAGCCACATCTCCAGTCCATTTTGCCCTGGTTATTGTGGAGATGGGGTCTCCAGAGCTATTTGCCCTGGCTGGCCTCCAACCATGATCCTCCCAATCTCAGCGTCCCAAGTAGCTGGGATTACAGGCGTGAGTCACCTGTTCCCAGCTCCTGAACTGAGTGAGCGCTTGCCTAGCACGCACCGTGCACAAGGTGCTTGCAAAGGCCACTCTTGATGTCCAGAGGGTCCTCCCCATATGCGGAGAGGCCAAGAAGGCCTCTCTGGGTCCCCCCACCCCCCGCTACCACCATGCCCTTTCACTTCAAGCAACCACGGGGTCCCACTTGGAAGGTTCCGGGACAGGAAAACTTGGGTTCAATTCTTTTATTACATTGCTTCTGATGATGACCTGTCTCTCTGCCAGGCAGGTGACCCATGGACTCCTCCCCACCCCTGCAGGGCAAGCGGAGGTGACGCCCCCAGGAAGGCCGGGTAGGTAGGGGTCCTGGGAGGGTGGAAGCAGTGGACTGCAGTAAGCAGAGGTCACGGCTGCACCCCAACCCTGGGAGACCTGTGTCCACCGCGCCCTGCTCCGCCTCCAGAGATAGCTCCGCCCCCTCCTGCTCCTCCCCTCCTTTCCTTCCCTTCCCTCCTCCAAGCGCTCCCATTCCCCCCTCCTCATTCCCCCTCCCTCCCTCCTCCCCCTCCCCATTCCCCCTCCTCCTGCCCCTCCCCCTCCTTATTCCCCCTCGTCCCCACTCTCTTGCCCCTCTCCTCCCTCCCCATTCCCCTCCTCCTGCCCTCCTCCCCCCCCCTCCTGCCCCCTCCCTCCTCCTCCCCTCCCCATTCCCCTCCTCCCCTCTCCTGCCCCTCCCTCCCTCCTCCCTCCCCATTCCCCCTCCTCCCCCCTCTCCTGCCCCCTCCCTCCCTCCTCCCCTCCCCATTCCCCTCCTCCCCCTCCTGCCCCTCCTCCCTCCTCCCTCCCCATTCCCCCTCCTCCTGCCCCTCCCCTCCCCATTCCCCTCCTCCTGCCCCTCCCCTCCTTATTCCCCCTCCTCCCCCTCTCCTGCCCCTCTCCCTCCTCCCCTCCCCATTCCCCTCCTCCTGCCCTCCTCCCTCCCATTCCCCTCCCTGCCCCTCCCCCCTCCTCCTGCCCCTCCCCCTCCCCATTCCCCCTCCTCCTGCCCCTCCCCTCCCCATTCCCCTCCCCCCCTCTCCTGCCCCCTCCCTCCCTCCTCCCCTCCCCATTCCCCCTCCTCCTGCCCCTCCCCTCTCTGGCGCTGGCGAGGACCTGTCGCTGTGTCCCTGGTGTGACCACAAGCCTCACTCCTTGAGCCCCAGGACTGGAACCCCTAGGGAACCCTCCCGGGAGAGGCAGGCGAGGGAGGCCGCTGGTGGGCAGGAGGGGCCGAGGCTCCCTGGGGGCGTGGGCCTGGGCAGCGGGTCCCCGGAAGCCGCCCCTCAGCCTCGTGTGCGCAGTCTCCTGGGGCTGGAGCTCAGTGTGAACTCTGCGCCCCGTGCCACTGTTGTGACCCCAGGTGGCACCAGCCCGGCCCCAGCCACCTCGCGGAGCCGTGCGGTCAGCGCAGGGGACTCCAGCGCCCAGCACCTTCCATGGCTCCCGCACGCCGCCGCCTCCGGATCTCACCGCCCCGCCTCCCCTTGGGAACGGGGGCGCCTGTGTCCCCCTGTGGTCAGGCCCTCCAGGACACTCATCCCGAGACCCTAGGCCCGGGAGAGGGGCAGGGGAGGGAGGAATGGAGCTCATCACCCAATGCTACCTAGGCATACAGTAGGCACTCATTAAATGTTTACTGCCGCACCAAGGCGCGCGTGACCCCGCAGTGCTGGACTCCCGCGCGTGTGACGTCACCTGGCCTGCAGGTCCACGTGTGGACACGCGGGGGCAGCACAGAGTCAGCAGCTGCAGCCGGATGCAGAGAGGCCGACTTCCAGATGTGCATTTGCGTATGTTTTCCTGGGGCACTGGGGTTTGAACTCACGGCCTCACGCTTGCTAGGCAGGCGCTCTCCCACTGGAGCCATTGCGCCAGCCCTGTTTTGTGAAGGGTTTTTCGAGATGGGGTCTCAAGGACTATTTGCCTGGGCTGGCTTTGACCCGTGCCCCTCCTCATCTTTGCCTCCTGATAGCCGGGATTACAGCAGTGAGCCACCACGCCCAGACATTAGTTCAGATGGGGGGTCTCTCCAAGTTTTTGCCCTGGCTGGACTTGAACCACGATCCTCCTGGAGCCAACCTTGGTGGGCCTTCTGTTTTGAGGTTTTGAGACAGGGTCTCGCTGTATAGTGCAGGCTGGCCTGGAACTCACCATCGTCCTGCTCAAGTCCGTGGGTCCATCAGTCACTCTGCAAACCCTTCCAGGTAAATTCTCATCTCTGAGCACCCGGCAGCCACGTGGTGGCCACAAGGCAGACCCTTCGGTCCTTCAGAGTCTTGCCAAGCTGCTCTAACACCGGTGCCTCAGTTTCCCCACCTGTAAGACGGAGCTAATGTCAGCATCTGCCTCACGGGCTGCTGTGAAGAATCGTGCGGCATCACCATCACTACGTAAGCAGTGCCTGGCTGCTACTGTCACAGTTGGGTCACCTTTTTAACGGCTGTATAGTACATTCGAGTGCGCTGCTTAAAACGATAAGTCGGTCAACTAGGGACCCAGGTTTCCTGGAGTGCTGGGGACAGACCCAGAAGCAGAGCCTAAGGCTGGAGGTCAAAAGGGACAACTGTGACAAGCGGTTCTGGGGAGCCAAAGGGGGAGGAACGGGGCGCCCTGCAGGGGGCGCCCGCGAGCACCCGGCGCAGTGCACAGCGCCGTCAACCGTCCTGGGCGGGCGCGCGGCCACGTGTGACCCGTTTGCCTTTCTCTGCCCTGTGGCCCCCTGACATGGCCTCCCGGGACCAGGTCAGCCTCTACCACGAAATGCTGTAGAGAGGCCGGGGTTGACCAACCGTGACTTCCTTCCTGCCATCCTCTCCCCTTCCCCCGCCCCAGGCATTTAGTGGCTTGTAAGATTTTCCTAAAACCAGTGGCAATGCGCTCTCTTCCCGCGTGCCGTGTGCACAGCTGTAATCCCAGCCTGCGGGAGTGGGGAGTCAGGAGGACCCCTGAGTTCCAGGACAGTCCTGGGGCTGCAGAGCGAGACCTTGCCTCGAAATAATGACTGTAAAAAAAATTTTTAAAAAATGATGCCTCGCGACTGGGATGCAACTCAGAGCTGCAGCACAGAGAGGGTGAGGTACCCGGCCTGGGTCACACAGCACCCTTTGCAAAATGGATGGGATCCCTAAGTCCCCTGGCCCAGCCTCTGGTTGTGGCCTGTGGCTCGGCCCCAGGGAGGGCTGTGGGGGTGAAGACAGGGACAGATTTGGGGTGTCTGAGAGCCCAGGGGCAGGATGAGGGGGGAGGTGGTGCCCGGGACGGGACCGGGCGGTGGTCTCAGGGACCCCCGGGGTGTTGGGTGGATGGGGCTGAATTGAGGAGGCCACACTGGTGGCCCCAGATGGCTTCCTGTCTCCCTCTGTGTCTGCCTGCAGGGTGTCGGGGACTTTCTGTGTGACACAAGTCTCTCGGCCTGGCCTCCGCCTGCCACCAGTCCTCCCCCACAGCTGCTTTGGGCCTCAGGACCTTGGCTTTGCAGTGCCATCTGCCTGGAACCCAGTGTCCCCTGCCCAGGGGCCTCTTCTCCTCGTAGCCTGGTCAGCAGAGAGCCAAATGCAAGCCCCAACCCTGATGTCCCCTTCTCCAGAATCCATAGGAGGAGGCGGCATGGGGGACGACTGTGTCCAGCTCTCCAGCTGTGTCCTCCCCAACACTGGGTGCTCCTTGAGGGCCTGGCCAGGGCCGAGGCCTCTTCACGAGCCCAGCACCGGTGATGTTTGTTGAGTGAATAAGTAATGCACACACAGGTCGGGAGGCAAGTGGCCTGACACCAGGAAGCCAGTGGGAGGGGCGACGGCCACTTGGGGCGCAGGAGGGGCCACTGGCTTCCAGCAAGAGGGAAGTGGGACCTGCCGCCCCTCCTCCCCGTGAGAGCCTTGCCGAGGGCGGATCCGCTCCCTTTCTCTCTTCCCCTCTGCCCTCCTCCCGGACACCAGTTCCTCTTCACCCCAACTTGCTGCGTGCAGGATCTCAGGCGCCCCCAAAATCACCGCAGACCGGTGGCCTCAGCCCGGGGGTCCAAGGTGAGCGGGGACCCGGGCACCAGGTGTGGGGATGGGGCTGGAACCCTAAGCCTGGAGGTGCTAAAATGTGGGGTGCAAAGCAGAACTGGGGGGAACCCTTCCCGGGACCCCCCATTCACCGCCCCCCGCCCGGACTGAGCGAGTACCGGGAAGAGTCAGTTACCCGGGGCAACCCTCATTTGCATATGGCCGCGTCTTGGCCAATGAGAGCGCCGCAGGTCATGCGAGATTGACAGGGCGGGGGCGGAGCTACCCTGGGGTGGTCCGGTCTTCAGTCCCTGTCCAGCCTTGGGCCAGGCGCCCATTCTCCAGGAGGGAAACTGAGGCAGGAAGCCAGCAGCTGCAAGGGTGACAAGCCAAGAGCAGCTGCGTTTTTTTCTATTTCAGAAGCGGTTTGAGCTATTAAAAAAAAAAAAATCGCACACCGCAGGCAGCGGCCAGGGTGCAGGTGACCACAGGGTTGAGGTCAAAGCTGAACGCCTGTGTGTCCCCCACACCTAGGTTGCTTGAATGGGGGACAACCCGGCCCTGGAGGTGCTGCTGACGCTGCTGCTGCTGCTGCTGCTGCAGAGGTCAGCAGGCCAAGGGCTGACCTGCACCGTCCTCCCGGGGACAGTGGACTGGGCCGCGGAATTTGATGCCACCTGCCTCAACTTTAGTGGCCGTGGCCTGCAGCTGCCCCAGAACCGGTCCCTGCAGGCCAGCCAGGTGCGGGTCCTCGACCTGTCCTCCAACGGCCTCCGAGAACTGCCACCGCTCTTTTTTGCTGAACTGGGGAAACTGCAGGACCTGCGTGTGACAGACAACCAGCTGGACAGAGTGGACGGGGCGCTGGCCGCGCGCTGTCACCTTGACCTCCAAGCTGACTGCAGCTGTGTCCTGATGCCCTGGCACCAGGTGCGACAGGACAACTGCTCAGGCCAGCAGCCCCTGCGGTGTCTGCACACGGCCACCGGTGCTCTGCACAACCTGTCCACCTTCCTGGACGTCAGCTGTCCCCCCGGGCCCGCGCCGGCCACCATCGGCCTGGCCGTGGCTGGTGGGATCCTCTTCCTGGGGCTTGTCATTGCCGCTCCACTGCTGACCTGGAGGCTCTGGGGACACAGAGTGGCCAGAGGCCAAGGCAAAGGCCAGGCCCCTCAGGACAGGTCCAGAGCTCGGCTAGCTTCCCAGCCCAGGTACAGTAGCCGGGACCCTGGTCACCCCCGGCCCCGGTTGGCCACCGCACACCACCGCACGTCTGTGCCCGACTATGAGAATGTGTTCATGGACCAGCCGGCCGAGGATCCTCAGTGGACCCCACATGGGTGAGTGACCCCTGCCTGCATGGGCTCCACACCCAGGGACGGGGGGGGTCAGGGTTCAAATCCTGCTCTGCTAGTGGCCTTGGTGACACCTGTGGTCCCAGCCACCCAGGAGGCCAAGAGGAGGGACAAAAAGCTCCAAATTCCCACTTTTTGCTTCCTGGGTGCTGTGTGTCCTGGGGCAAGTTGCTGGACTTCTCTGAGCCTCAGTCGCCTTTGTAAAATGAGGATTCGAGACAGCCCTGCAACAGGCAGCTGTGAACAGGAAAAGAAGTCCCTGCCTGTGGGTCAGCCCCCCTCCCCGCTGGGTGACCCCAAAACCCAGTTTCTGGCCTCCAAGGGTGAGGAGAGAGGGGGCCGGGGCTCGAGGTGGCGGTCAGCCGTGAGAACCAGGTCCTTTTCCGTCCCCCTCCAAAGGGGGCCTAAAGAGGTCCCAGGGCCCCAGGCCCTGTGTCCATGTCGCCCAGGGTGGGCTCTGGGTCGGGGAAGGAGGGAAGGGAGGCTCCCGGGGGGAGGCCCAGACTGAGGCCCGGGACCCAAAGCAGAGCAGTTGACGAGAAAGGGAAAATTATGCAAATGAGATGCAAATGAGATAGAAGCAGGAGTGGCCTCACCAGGGCAGCCGTGGGCCAGCACTCCCCTCCGCCTCCCAGTCCCTAGGCCGCCTCCCTCATGTCCCGTCCCTGTCCCTGGCTTCCAAAATCAGCCGCTCTGCCAAAATGGAGGCCCTGGGAGGAAGGAGAACGGCTCGCCCGAGGCCGCACGGGGAGGCAGGAGAGGCCAAAGCCAGAGCCTGTCCAGGCGCCCACCCTACAACCACGTAGGTGAGCAGAGAAATTCGCACTAAGGTGTGCATGGCTGATGGACGGAGGCCACCGCACCACACCGTGGCTTGTTCCTTTTCTCTCCTTTTCAAATCTATTTAAAGAGATGAGATGTCATGATCTCAAACCGGCCTCGAACGCCCAGCCTCCAGGGGCTCTCCTGCCTCCGCTCTGGAGCAGCTGGGATTACAGCCAGCTGTGCGCTCCTCCACCTGAGCTGGGCTCTTTTGTAAGATTACTTTTTATTTTTCACTTTGAGAACGGGTCTTGCCGTGCAGCCCAGACCTCGCCATCCTCTTCCTGCCTTGGTTTTCTCAGTGTCCTGGGGTGACACTGACAAAAAAAAAAAAAAACCTTCCCCATGTGACCGCGGGCGGCCGTGGCCACGTGGCGGGAGTGGACGGAAGTTCCCATCTCTGGAGAGGAAAATGAAAGCTAGGCTTTTTTCACGTCAGCCCCCAACGTTTAAGGAAGGAAATGCCATCCCGTCCCGTGTGGCCCGTCACAGTCACCGCCCTTCCCGAGGGACATGGGCCCTCCTGGGGGGGGAACAGAAGTCAGCGTGTGCCTCAGTTTACCCATCCGTAAATACTAGGGCCGAACTCGGTGCCCTGACCTTTCTAACATATGAAAGTCTCCAAATATCAAATAGAACCTGTCTCGAAAATATAAAAGTCAGTCCCAGCTCTGCTGTGTGACCTTGGACGAGTGGCGTCACCTCTCTGGGCCTTGAGCGGCCCCACCCACGACGCCCACCGCTGACCCCTCTGTCCACACAGGCCTCAGGCTGCCGAGGACACGGACTTCTATATGAACTACAACAGCCCCGACCTGGACGCCCAAGCTGTGTACTGCAACCTGGAGCCTCTGGGCCAGGGGGCTGCGCTGGATGAAGAGGAGTACGTGCTGCCTGGGTGCTGAGTCTCAACGTCCCCACTGAGGCACTGGCTGGGAGGGGGTGACCCGGGGTGGGTCAGTTCCTCCCCGGCCCGTCCACCCCTCGGAGCAATGGGAACACAGTCGTCTCTTCCTGCCAGCATGCAGGTGGTGCTCAATAAATGCTTCAGGGACTGACGAGGCTGCTGTGTGGCTCGGGTCCCCGTCTCCATCCCCCCCTGCTCAGACACCCGCCGTGGCTCCCCGGCGCTGGTGACAGGAGGCCGAGTGTTCAATCCTGACGCCCCCTTTCTCCCACTGGGCCTCAGTTTACCCACCTGATTAGAACTAGCCTTTCACCTTGCTTTAGCCTCTGTGCCACCTCCTCCAGGAAGCCCTCCCGGTTTCCCCCACCAGGCTCTGTGGCTCCCAGACCTCTGTGTGCTCAGTTTGCTCAAGCTCATGCTATCCGTGACCCAGACCAGCTCCCAATCTGGGGGGACATAAGTGGACAAAGACGCCCCTAGATTTGGGATGGCTGCAGGGAGAGGCAGGGGGATGGCAGGTGAGAGGGGAATCTGCAGTGGGTTTTGAAGGACGCCTAGGAGTTTGAGAAGGTGTGAGGTACAGTGGACATTTGGGGGCAGACTGACCGAGGCGTCCGCAGGCTTCTGGGTGACAGGAGGGCATAAGTAGGAGGTGCCATATGAGTGACAGCGTGCCTCAGGACTTACTTTCTCCCCGCTCTTTCTGTATGAGACTCTGGAGGTGACATTAACTTAGGAGGAGGTGCCACCAACGGGGCGGGGGACAGGACTGGCCCAGGTCGGGGTGAGCTGCCAAATGAACTCGGTGACACATGGACTGCCTGTGGTGACTCATCCGAGGGCAGCTAAGTACCACTTCCAAACCGGTGATGTGATGGAGGCAAAACTGGCATGGAGAGAGAGTGACAGGGAGGGCGGCCAGGTGCCATCAGGGAGCAGCTTCTCCCGCGCGAACCCCAGGACTCAAACCCCAACTCCGCCACCCACACTCTGCGCCATGTCCCCTGGGGAAACTGAGGCCACTCAAACGCGTGGTGGACACCACAGGAATCCCCATCAGCTTTATTCCCACAGGCTAAATAAATAGGCGGGGGCGGAGAACCCCAATAAATTAATAATAACAACAATAAATAGACATAAATACGCTGGGGGCGGAGGGAGGGGACAGAGGGAAGGAATGGGCGCCTAGGGTGGCAGCGCTGGGTGCTGCGTCCCCACGAGTCACGTGGGCGCGCACAGGAGCGCGCGCGCAGGCCCGCAGGTCCAGACACAGCTGTGCGTATGGAGTGCGTGTGTACGCAGCTGCGGGCACAGGTCCGCAGGCATGCGCACAGGTGCGCGCTTTCTCAGATATGCGCATGCACAGGTGCGCTCTTTCTTAGGTGGGCCTTGGCACGGATGCGCGCGTTCTCAGGGCCGTGCACGCACAGGTACGCGCTTTCTCAGGCGCGCGCGTGCACTTTTGCGGGGCCGCGCAGGCATGCGCTCAGGGGCGCGCGTTCTCAGGGGCGCAGGCCGGGTCACGCGCAGTGGCAGCTGGTGGCCAGCAGGTCGTCGTAGGTGCGCAGCGCCAGGCCGCCGTCCGCGCGCTGCAGCAGCACCACGGGCTCGTAGGCGGCGGGCACGCAGCACGGGCCGGGCACCACATCGGGACGCAGGCGGTGCAGCCGTGCCTTCACCTGCGCGTGCGTGCTGGCCGCGCGGAAGCGGGAGGGACACTCGCCGGCGCACACGGTCACCTGCAGCTCGCGCGGGGACAGCACGGAGCCCGCCCAGCCCAGGTCCTCCAAGGACGCGGGCACGGACAGCAGGCGACAGCAGCGCCCGGGGCCCAGGGGACACTCGTCCCGCGGCCGCGCGCTGCGACGCCCCCTGCCGGCCCGCGCGCGCAGGTGCAGCTCCAGCTCCGGCTCCAGCTCCGGCTCCAGCTCCCGCACGGCCGCCACCGCCGCCCCACGCGGGGACACGCGCAGCTGAAGCGTAGGTCCGGGAAGGCGGAGCCGCCGCAGCAGGGGTCGCGTCACGTCCCATGACGTCGTCGGCGACAGGCGCAGCAGGGCCCGGTGCACGCTGTAGGATTCCGGGACACCCTGGGTCACGGAGGCTCGGGGAACGCGCACAAGCAGCCGGCCGTGGGACTCGACTCGCACTGTGGGAATGGAGAACGGGACGAGGGTCAGGCAGAGGACAGGGGCGTGCAGGACTGGGCGTCCCCCCCACAGGGCTTTATCATGGCCGCCTGAACCCCAGGAGTCACCCTCGTAATCTCACAGGACACACAAGGTGGTGGGAAGGGCGGGGCAAAGCTGCGTCTGGCCCCGCCCCGGGATCCTAGCCACGCCCCATCTGAGCCTAACCCCGCCCACCTGAATCAGAGCCCCGCCCCTCTCGGTCCTGGACGCGCCCCTCCAGGTCCTAGCCCCGCCCCTCTGGGTCCGAGCCTCGCAAATGGGTCCTAAGAGTTCTAACCCCGCCCATCTGGGTCGTAACCCCGCCCTCTAGATCCTATCAGGGCTCCTGCTCCCCGGGGTTCTATTCCCGCCCCTCTGGGTCCTACAGGCGCCGCTCCAGGTCCTAGCCCCACCTCTCTGGGTTCTAACCCCACCCCCGTCCTCTAGGCCAAAGCCTGGTCCCTCCAGTCCTAGCCCTGCCAATACCTGCCCTGGATCCTAGCCCCGCCCATTCTGAGTCTTAGCCACTCTGGGTCCTAGCCCCACCCACCTGAACCCTAGCCCCGCCTCTCTGAAGCCAAGCCCGCTAATGGAGCCTCTGAAGTCTAACCCCGCCCATGTAGGTCATAGCCCCGCCCCTAGGTCCTAGCACTGCTAATGGCTCTCCTGGATCCTAGCCACGCCCACATTTGCTTTAACCCCGCCCATTTGGATCATAGCAACACCCCCTAGGTCCTACCCTCCTAATGGCTCCTCAGGTTTCCAGCCCCGCCCATCTGAGTTTTAGCCACGCCCTCTGGTTCCTAGCCCCTCCCATTGGAGTCCTAGCCCCACCCTTCTGGGGGTCCATACCCCACTAATGGCTCCGCTGGGTTCTAACACAGATACTCTGAGTCCTAGGCCAGTTGCTGGACCCCTGAGTCCTGCCTCGGTATTATGCCTCTTAACGCACCCTTCTGGGTCGTAGCCCCGCCCCTCTATGTCTTAGCCCCGCCTCTCTGTGCTCAAACCCCGGCCACAAGCTCCCCGGATCCCAGCCCCGCCCAAGGGTCCTCTGAGTTCTAACCCCGCCCTACCGGGTCGTAGCCCCGCCCCCTAGATCCTATCGCTGCTCCTGGCTCCCCGGGGTTCTAGCCACGCCCCGCTGGGTTTTAACCCCGCCTCCTCAGGTCCTAGCAGCGCTAATGGCTACCCTGTGTCCTAGCCACGCCCCCTCTGGGCTTTAGCCACGCCCCCGGGTCCTAGCCCCGCCCCCGGGCCGCTGGAGCGCGGCGCCCTCCGCCAGGCACCTGCGGCGTGTGGCTGCGATTGCGTCAGACTCGGAACCGGCGCGGGCGGGTTCTTCACCGCAGCCACCGACCCCTCCGCCTCCTCGGGGACCCCGGGCCCGCGACGCGACCGCCGGGCGCTGTGCACCTGCCAGCTCCCGGGAGGGCACGGATGGGGAAACTGAGGCTGGAGGAGTGGGCTCGGGTGGGGATGGGGGCGAGGTCCCCGAGCCGTCACTCACCTTGCGGGGTGATGATGCGCACGGCGGGGTCGGGACCCAGGTTCGAGTCCTCCCAGCTCTGGTTCACCCGCAACCTGGCCATCAGGTCCTCGTAGCGCTTGCGAAACTCCTGGACCCCCGCGGTGTCGGGGTCCGAGTCCGGGGAGCCGGGTCCGAGCTCGGATTGGACCCCAGAGCCGGACCTGGGCAGCCCGGCCAGGCCCAGGGCGTCCCCCGGCGGCGGCCACGAGAGCAGCAGCAGCAGAAGCAGCAGTCGCGGGCCCCGCGCGCCCAGGGCCGGTGGCGCGGGTTGCACACTGCGCGAGGCCATGTGTCGCTCGGCCCGTGTCCGTCCGTCTGCACTCGGACCGCCTGGACGTCGCCTTTATAGTCCCTGGACTTTGTCCGCCCCGCCTGCTGCCCCGTCCCCGCCCTTCGTGCGGATCAAACGCCCCAGGGGACGGAACCCAGGGCTCTTTTGGGGGGGGGAGTGGACAGGGGGAGGAAAGGGGGCACTCCCTGACCAGCGCGGCCACCTCTCTGAACCCGGAAACGAGGACACCAGTGGAGATAAGGGAAAACACAGGAAGAGGAGAAAAGGGACAAGTTTGGGCATGTCACCTCTCTCTGTCCTGTCTGTATCCTTCCCAAAAAAAATGTGTGTAGGGGACACTTTTCTCTGCAGAGAGGGTCAAAGGAAGCCAAAAGGACAAGGCCAGCCACGGGATCGATGAGCAATAGTCCACGGTTACTGAGACTGGACAGGGGAACTCCTATTCATTCCTCAAAACCCTGTTCGAAAAGCCCCTCTTCCCAAGAAGCCAGCTGTGACTACCTTTCCAAGCTGACTAGGCGGGACCCCAGTCTGCAGTCCTCACCCCCTCCACCGTGGTCCCATAGGTCATGAGTGGGTTGTGGCCATCCCACACACGCCTGCCTTGGAGTCCCCCATCGTGGTCCCCTGTGTCCACTGTCCCCTTCAGTGCACAACCTGAACAACTGTCCAGCAGGCTCTTCTGGCAGCTGGGGGGGAAGGAAGGAAAACCCCCAAGTCTGGGAGTGACAAGTGTCCCCAAGCCAGGGGTTGGGATGTCCTGTGTCCCCCTTTGTTCGACACCCCCCCCCCCCATCTCCCCGGCCCGGCGCCTGCGCAGTCTGCAACCCTGAGCCCGGTGCACGTACGACCTTCCCGGGCTGCCGCGCCGCGCGCCCCCTGGTGGCCATGCGCTCAAATGGCGCGGGGACCTCGGAACTTGGGACACCTGCTGCCCACCCTGGGGAACCCCCCACCCCACCCCCGCATACAGTCAGCCAGGCCTCCGTAGTGGACCTTTCTGACCCTGGGCTGTCCCCTCCTCCCCCCACCAGCCAGTGGTCTTCTTCCTCCCCAGCCCCCCACCGTGGACCCCAATGCCCACTTCACCTGGTCTGCGGTGGAATACTATGCAGCAAGGCAAAAGGGCAAGCCAAAGCCCGGCGCGACCTCCCCTGCTTGGGGTCAAAGGTTAAATGGAAATGGTGAAAAATGACAACCTAAAGGACCCGTCCAGTGTGTGTCTGCAGAGGTGGCTGGTCAGGCAGTGGGGAGTGGTCAAGGAGGGGACACCCAGGGTCCCCTCAGCACAGGGGACAGGGACCTGGGATCTCTGGGGAGGCCCACGAGCCTGGTCCTCTCCCTGAGCCACCGATGTCCTTCCCGTCCTTTCCTGCCAATGGGGCCACACAGCAGCTGGCCTTTGAAATGTGTCACTCGGCGTCCTGTGTTGGAGGTTCATCCAGCTGGCAGAGCCAGTCCTCTTCCTGGGTGAGTAATATTCCACTCGCTTTGCTTTCCACTGCTGGCTTGGTGGGCACGGGGGCCGTTTTCCCTTAGGCCGTGGGCGCCGCCATGGGTGTCTGGGACAGAGACCTGAGTCTTCTGTTCTTTTTCCCTTTTTCCATCACAGGCCTGGCCTGCTGTGCCCTGACCTTTATCCTTGCTGTATAGCACTCCACCGCACAAACCCGGACAGGAGCCAGTCCTTAGCTCATGGTGTGCGTGGACCTTTCTCTATGGGCACAAGGACAAAGCCACCAGGCCCCACGGTCCCCCGTTCCGTCCCGGAAGGTGTGCGTCCTCCACACACCGGAAGTTTCCAACTCACCAAGCTGGAATGTGGACACGGCCGGCTGACTTGGCCCTGTCCCCCGGCTCTGTAGCCCCTGACCTCATGACTAGTCCCGTGGCCAAGCCAGGAAGAGTGGTGGCAGCCAGCCAGCTGTGACCTCAGCGGGCCGGGGACCTGCTTCCCTCCTGCCGCTGGCTTCCACCGGTTCCCCACAGGCCCCACGAGGGCAGGGGTCAGGCTGGTCGTTGACCGCCGTGTTAGACACAGGGCATGGTTTCGGGCCCGACTGGATGAGTCCCCGGGGACAGAGACAGCTGTCCCACCACGGTGGCCTTTCTAGGGACGTCTGGAAGCTCTGTGGAGTGGCCCCGGCCCAGCTACACCCCAATACTTACCTAAGAACATTGGGGTCTAGGTGAACTCCTACACACCTCCTAAACCCCACCGTCAATGCCCCTTCCTCCTGCAAGCCTTCTCTGCTGCCCTCTGGCTAACAGTCCTTCCTCTCTGTCCCCCACCCTGGCCATAC